GGGTACAATGGGTAAATTGTCGCTATTTTATATTTTTAATTTTGCACATTGTTTTTTTTTTTCTTTAATTTTGTTGACTGCACAGTATAGTTGGGTCAGTTGGGCACCGTCTGTGAGAAAAAGAGCGCCATGACGCAATTCCCTCCACCGGAAATTTGGAAACGGCCTTCTCAACTGCTTCGCATTCGTATCGGAAGCTCCAATACGAACATTTCAAAGTGTTTGGGTGTCAATCTGAAGGCAGTGCAGCAGATTCGGAAAGAGTTGGATGAGTCTAATAGTGATTACGATGGTACGGCAGCCCAGAAAACTCACTCTGATCGTTCTGATAAGAAAAGAACTCCCGAATTTGTAGGCCAGGGCCATAGATTCAACACGGAGTCCTACATCAAGTATCCTGAAGAGGTATTGCTGTTCTGGGTCAAGAGAGTGGCTGCTGGAAGACCCTCTGTCTGGCAACAGGACTCTACACCATGCTATACAAGCAGGTGACCCAATCACGGCTATCAGACAATTTTTGCAACTACATCACCCCTTACATCTGGCTACCTAACTCTCCAGACTGCAACCCCCTTGATATGTGTAAGGCGCAGTTGAACGAGAGACCAATAAAACTCCTCTAAAGATGATCTGAAAGCAAGGATTATGGCAGCATTCACCAATTTAAACAAAGAAACCATCCAGAAGAGTTGCGGGAGATTCCGAAGTCGTCTGGAGGCCGTGGTATCTAGCCACCCTCCCACGAGGGTTACATGTGGCACAAGGCCGAGTTTAACGTGGGTTTCCCGAGTCCGAAGGTTCGGCCAAAAATGCCCGTAGAACCCGTATAAACGGGATTGGGTTGGTCAACCTCCCCGAACGAGACTCTGCCCTTCGGCGGAGCCTCGTCCGGGTTCCTCTCTGCTCAGAGGCAGAGAGTTCGACCCACAAACCGAGAAGGAGGCCGTGGTTGATCCCTACCTCTTGTGCAATGGGAGGGCGCGGCCTCGGGCAGCTGTTCCCCAGGGCTGGGCACCTCTTCAGTATAACTTTCCTCAGTTGCCCCTCTGTCCTCAGAGCGCACTTTATCCAAGGACAGAGACGCAACTGAGCGATGATAAGTAATGTGCATAAATTACTTAGTGTAATTCACGCGTTATATGCTCAGTATCTGTGTTATATATTATCTACTTCTAGGCAATATCACACTTCGGGTTTATCTAATTTGCATATTTATTTTAAAATAGTTTATTTCATTGATTAACTGTCCTTCGTTACTGATCTTTTATTCAGGGATTGTTTTGATTTTCTTATCAAAAATAATTCTGTTTAAGAATGTTGTCATACATATGCAGAAAAGTGTTTGAAATTTGCATTTTACTTGGCCTTCAACAAGTTGGCATCTATTTGTCTACTTTCCTTAACTATAACAAGCCAATTTATGAATGACATGTTCATTTAAAATTTTTGTTTCAAAGATTTCAAGTAGTGAATATATCCCATTATCAGAATCATCTCACTATTAGAGAGGTCCTGTATATCAAACATTTTTCTCCCACTATCAACTTCACATTATTTAACAGAGGATATGGAGTATTAATTGTTTTTAAATAGAAAGATGCTCACGCGATTTCCAACCGCGGGCAACATATGAAGGCTCGGAGTGAACATTTCTATTCAAAACTACCTTGAAAATGGCTATAGAAGTAACCGAAAGCACTTGGGACAATAAAAGCACTGGAAAAGTTTTGTACTTCCTTACTCCTACAAAACAGAAAAAACGTAATGATGTTGGAAAAACTTAATGAAAACTTAATTAAATCCTGTGTTTCGCTCGATGTTAAAACTCTTTTTACCAACGTCCCAGTTGAAGAAAGAAACAACATAATTAGTGACCAGCAACTCTTCGGAAAATACTCCTCGCCTGTATTACGATAGCCTCATTTTATGATCAAAATGGCAACATCTATATCCAAACTAATGGCATCAGTATGGGAAACCTATGGTAAATGTAACTTTCTAAACTTTTCCGATCACGAACTCACCGACAACCAAATAGAATTCGTGAATATCGACTCGAATTGCCGCCTTCAACATAGATACGACCCCCATTCAAAAGAAAACCGAAATCAATTCAGCGGCTGACAACGGAAAAATTAATGAAGGTGCAACCAAATCTGAGAAATCTTCTAAAAGCGAAAAGTTTGAAAAACCATTCTCCACACAGCAAACACAACCATATCCTCACACTCAAATCTACTGCAAAACAGTTACGTCACAACCCCAATATCATCATCAAACGCGCTGATAAAAACAATAATGTAGTTCTCAGCCGACAAGATTACAGCCAAAAATTACAATCTATTTTAGATGATACAACAAAATTCATTAAATTAAAGAAAAATCCCACAGAATCCTTTAAAAAAAGTTCGTAAACTGATCACAGCGAACAGCGCTGAGATCGGTAGCTTAACAATCAAGAAGATTGCCGGGGATTATCAATCAGGATCTCTGTACCGTCATGTAAAACTCATAAACCAGGTTTTCCTCTCCGATCTATCATATCCCAAATTCTAAAGAATTAATAGATTTTCTTTTTTTAATCCAACATTTTATTATTATTTAAACTATTTCGGATTAAAAAAAATGAAATCTTTTATTTGAATGAGTGAATGTTCAAAATAAACGGAACCTCTGCTCGAATACAGTTAACCACTAAGAATAAAGCTTACAATAATGAACTACGGTGACCCTTGAGATTGGCATCGATTTCAAAGATATAACAGATAAACTCTGTATCCTTGTTTGGCTCTGCATGCCCTTCAACTCTCCTGTGCCTCCTCAGTCCAGATGAGGATCGGAAAACTTTCTTGCAAATCACACAGGTGTTTTCAGCAGGACGATGAGGAAGGTTGTCACATACATCTTTCTAATGATTTTTATGATAACCCTTCCGAGGATTTACATAACCTGTCCTAGATAACGGCATCCACTCACACGCGTACACAACATTTCTAAGGCAGAATTTTAGTTGGTAAATCAGAGTTGAATCCCTTTTCGGAGACCACGCATGATTTGAGCAAAGGTGTTGCACCCTGCTCTCCAGACATACATTAGATATTCTTGATAAAATCGAAAAAAGAATCTGCAATTTTACTGGTCATGATCTGGCATCTTGGCTTCAGTCAGTTTCCAACCGACGTAACGTAATTCCCTGTGACTTTTCTATAAATACGTCTATGGTAATTTTTCTGATGAACTTTCCCCTATGTTACCTAGACTTTATAAATTTAAGCGCAGTATTAAATTGGCAACAAGTCTCATCATTTTACAGTTGAAATGTCTAGATGCAACCGTAAGTTCTATGGTAACAGTTCCTTCTATCTCACAATTCTCTCCAAGCTTCTTGCTTTCCTGTCAACTTTGATCTTCAAACATTTAAATATAATATTAATCGTTATATTATGTCTTCTTAATGCTAGTTCTTTTATTGTCAGCTCTCCTTAAAATTTCGAAATTTTCTTTTTGTAACGTTTAATGTTTATATTAGTTATAAGGACAAGTCCTCAGAGAATTAAAATCATCAAATCATTTTAGTCACCGTCCTGGGTATGACGATAAACTACATCCGCGTCCTTGGTAAGACGATAAATTACATCTATCAGCAAGGCCTGTGATAAGGAGGTTTTGAGGAGGGTCTAGACACCTCTTAATTGCTGGTGTTCCCATGTCAAACCTGACTGGGGGTAGTAGCACCTGATAGGGTCCCAGCTATGGGTAAATAAAATCCCCCAAACTGAGGTCAAAACGTGTAAAAATAGGTTTTAATACTAGCAATATATTTTTGTCAAAAAATTATTATCAGTAATAAATTTTCGAAGAAAAAATCATTATCATTCTTTTTTGGATTAAAGAAATATCACCAGCAATACATTTCGAGTAAAAAATATTATCAGCAATAAATATTATATTGGCATTAAATAACCCATTGATGTTGATATGCCGTAAAACAAACCATTTTAGTCAGAGGACCCCATTTACAAACAATAATGAATTTTTACAAGAATTTTAAAATTTAATTAGAATAATTTATAAACTTTAAAAATAAAATCTTTTAAAATTCTCTCTTAATTTATAGCGGTCAAGTGATATTGTTATTAAATAAAAACTTTATCTCCTAGTCATTTTTGAACGTGACCAGACTCATAAAAAAATCTTTTTTGATGTTTTCCCTTCTTTGATGTCGAAGGTCGGAGTTCGTTTTTTCTTGTTGCTTATTCAGAACACTTCCAGTACAACAAAAATATCTTGACTGTTACGCTTCAGTCATTTCTCTATAGTCCTTAATAATTATTTCATCCTTGAAGAAGAGACTACATGCAACAGAAATGTGGCTCTACAGAAGGATGCTGAGGATATCATGGACCAAACATGTGGACAACGTTCTAAAGAAAATGTAAACAAAAAAGAAACCCATAGTTAACATCAAGAAGACACAGATGAAATTTCTAGGGCAACAAACCAGGAAAGAAGGTTTGGAAAATCTGATACTCACAGGGCAGATTGAAGGCAAGAAAGACAGACGGAAACAACGCATAATCTTCCTAGTGAGCTTGCATAAATGGATGGTGGAACAAGGTGTAAGAGAAATAAGAAAGACACAAACTTTATTAAGAGTTATAAAGTACAGGAAATTGTAGAGAGCCATGATCGTGTACGTCCTAAACTGACACGTCACACAAATAGTCAGTGGTCGTGAAAATATCACATAAAACCAACTGATGGGTCAAGGAACATTCAATTTGTTTTTGCCATATAATTTATAAGGAATTGCTTCTTCGCTTTACGCCGTTTTGGATAACGAAGAAAAGTTTAACTTTTCGGAAAGCGAAGGAAAAGTGCATTTAGTGTAAAATGTAATCCAGATTCGGTGACTTTTCAGCTAAGTTTTTATGTCCACCTACGCGGTCAAACAAAGCAGATACTTAAACGAATTGTAAAGCAAGCCGGTCGCAAAAGATTTACATCAGAGTGTCTGCATGAAATAAACAGGCGATCATTTGCCTGAACTTACGGGAAGAAGCGTTAGCAAATCGCAGACCCCTACGCGTGTACAGCAGAGTGGATGATTCTGATTTGGTAATGCAACTCTAGCTCAGAGGGAGGAGACCGGCTGACAGGAAAACTGAGATCCCAGTGCCAAGGAGAGCTATGTTAATATCAATCATTCAACGGCTTTTTCTTAGGGTACCATAGGTTGGTGTCCGATATGAGGCAGAAACCAACATTTCGAATGCTGGATTTTAAAAAACATGTGGAAAATGGTACGCTCTCTCATTTGACTTCGTTTGCATTGACGTAAGCTTGGATGATAGCGATTTCAGCCTTCTTCTATCTATCTATCTATCTATCTATCTATGTTCATATTTATCTATTTCAGTCTCTTCATTCTCTATCTATCTTCTGCTTGATGTGTACGATAAACGTATCATATGATCACCTACACACACACACACACACACACACACACACACACACACACACACACATATATATATATATATATATATATATATATATATAAAAAATTATAAACATTCTCTACTTATCTTTAGCATAATCCGTTCATATTCACGAATATTTTCGTGTATTACAATCAATTTTTAATACACGGAAAATATCCGTGAATATGAACGGATTATGCTAAAAATAAATGAACATAATATTGTAATTAATTTAATCAGACATGCTTAAAAGAGGATTTTCTGCCTATATATATATATATATATATATATATATATATATATATCAGTGGCGACTTTAGTTCATCAATGTTTGTTGGGCCCATTACAATTTTTAATATTGGTATAACTTAAATGCTAAAATGATTCCTTTACTCCAATTGAAATTTTTTTTAAATCTCTGTGCATGAAATTAAAAAAAATGTTTAGCTATTTTAATATTAATTGTAATAATTTCATAAAAATAAACATTTATTCAAAAAAAAAATTAGACATGTAAGAAAAAAGAGTGAGGACAAATTCTTTGATATGTTTGTCGATTTAATGTCCTTTTTCAATTTTTTATTGATTTATAGCCTGATTATCAAGTCACTGTTGGTAGAGATAGGAATATTTGACTGATATCATATTACCTCAACACTACCTCAGTTACACTCATCACTCGAATCCTCCAGTCGACGAGTTAAGGCTGCCACTTTTTTTGATTTTCGCCGACTTTAGGTCGGGCTAAATTTAATTTGCCCTTTTTCAATTGATACACATTTCACGAAAAAAAATCTTTATACTGTACGGAATAAATTATTTAATACGGACAATTGAAAACAACAAGTTGAAATAAAAATATGTTCTTTGAAAAACAGGGCATACAAATCATTAGAGATTTTTAAAAGATTATTTATGAATTTTTTTACTTACTTTATTCCTTTGTTTTTTTTTCTTTCTTTCTTTCTTGTTTCTTCTTTATTATGAACAATATCAACGAAATGCATTTCGGTCAATATTTTGAGCCACGGAGTTAAAACAATTAATTTTGGATCCAGCGAAAGTCAAGAATGAAACAACTCACTAAGAAAGGTTTTTGGTGCTTTAAAATGGATATATTTAAAAGCTGGCTTACTCGGGCTAAACTCACAAGACCGTACCCCTGAGTCGTCACTGATATCAGCGTACTGAGACATGTTTCATTGAATAATTTAGACAAGTTTTGTCTATTTATTTTTAATTGGATCCTTTCATATTCACGGGGAAGCTTTTTGGTGTCATTATTAAAGGAAGCGAGAAAATTACCGTGTTGATACATATTATTTATTCCGAGTACTTTCGACAGTAGAACAATGTCATCATCAGGGTGTTCGTTTCAAGGCAAATATTGTAGTGTTCATCATTTTCAAAGACAAAATTGTTGTGTTCATCTGAAAATTAAAACTTTTTACTTGTGATGTGAAGAACACTGAGTTTAGTGCTGTGCGATTAATTTGAGTGACGCTTAAGGGGAGGTAACTATGGTGAGGTTGTCGAGAGTTTGTTTTTAAATAAGCATTAAAAATTATTAGTACAAACCTCAATGTATTAATTCAACTGAAAATAAGTAGACGAAACTTCTCTATTAATTATTATTCAATTAAACATGAAAACATGCTGACGGTTCATATACGTAGTTCATGACATAAAAACTGAATACACTTGTAAAAATAGAATACGCGGATTTAACACATCACAAGAAATATTTAAATAAAATTCTCACTTAAAATTTTGAAAAACTTAGCGTTGCGTCTTTGCACGTTCCGAGATCTTACACAACCGTCAATAATAGCAGATATTCAAAAAACATCTTTCGGTCGACATACAAGTATTTCGTCTCCAAGTTTTTGATTTTATAAGGAAAAAAACACATGCCTGATGATGAATAGAGGACTATTCGTAAGTACTAGCATTTTAACATCAAATAAAATGAAAACTACAGACATCAAGTTTATCGACGAGGATCACTTCACTCTATGGATTAACAGTATTTTAATGCATATATTATGTTTCTAGCGATGGATGTCGCCAATAATCGCATTAATACTTCTGATTGATTTTATGTGTGATTATTTCTTTTATATATATATATATATATATATATATATATATATATATATATATATATATATATATGCATGTATTCATCATTAAATTACAATCTGTATTAAAGACTGCTAACTGCCCAGGTTTGTGGACGTCAGTTTAATTGTCTAAAAGAAAAGAGGTACATCTACTCTCAAATATGTAGCTAATAAATATACAGTCTCCAGTAATAAGAAATAATGTTGGTTTATATATAAAATCGATTAATTCTTTATAAAATAATTTGTATATGTCTCGGCTACGAAAATAAAGCTAGCTCGAAGCTGGCTTTGAAAGGTTTCAAAGAGGGAGTAGTGTTTCTTACAAAGGTTAATTGAACCTTACTCTACTCTGTAGCCTTTCCATCTTGAATGTAGTTTCCCGTACGTAACAAAAGTTCGAACTATGTCTACAGGCAAATTCTGTTTATTAAAGACACTCATAGGTCCATGTCGGTAGGCGGTGAATTACATTGTGCAAGAAACAGAGATGTCTATTTAAACTCGTGTATTCGCTAATGGCCGGCTACTCTTGGTTTCTGAGCAGACCCATCTTTTCGGGCGGATAACCATTTCTTGTTGCAGACAACGGATCAAGCGCATTAACTCGAAGATTTCGAACATTGCTGCAAGCTGGGAGCACCTCCCCAGACCGATGACACACTAGGAGTCACATCCCTGACAAATCGACCATGGTGAGAAATTGGAAATCGAATGTTTTAATCATTAATCTACACTTCCACTCACTTACGTGCTAATACCCTTGGGAAAGGTATGAATCCTCTTCTTCTCCTCCCAGCTATGGGTAAATAGCAGGAAAGACCGAGTCATTTAGCCTTGAATGGCAACTGGTCAACCGGAGAAAAAATGGCAACCTACTGCGGGAAAAATGTGCATCGAAGGATACATTATCGCCTAAGCGTGTATCACGTATGGCACAAAACTGACTGGCACTCCCACAAATTGGATGTGCGGGTGGTGTAATGGATATTGACTGGGAAGAGGAAATTGGCGAGTTGAGCTCCAATTCCAGTCATGTTTGTTAATTTAGGTGGCCTGACGATTGCGTCCAACATGAAACAGCTTGTAGCCTCTGAGTGTTGACTTCAATGTTCACTTTTATACACACACACACACACACGCACACACACACACACACACACATATATATATATATATATATATATACAAATATATATAAATATATATTGTTTAAATTTTCAATATTGGGTATAATGCATTTATAGATATGCACAGTGTGAACGTAGAAATACCAGATGAAACATGAAAATTGTACAAATCGTGTAACAGCAAAAGTGTTCAGTTGTTAGAAAAAAGTGTTCTGAACTGTTTGATTTTAGAAATGATTAAAGATATCTTACTGGAAATCTCTGAGGTTTTCGATTCTACTTTGAATAATAAGAATGTATTTAGCTCTTAGTTGAAATGATCATACCTCTTGCAGTCGTGACCTCCTGATCCAGTTTTCCCTCTTTTTAAAACTTATTCACCATTCTCTTGATGGTTCTTAAATGGACTTTGGTAATGGAAGCCAGAGTATGAATATTGCTACCATTTACTGAAGGTCTGAATGATCTTTTTTGTTTCACCACTGCTCAGTGGGGAAAACATAGTAGGGGCTAACGCAATTAACCTGATCTCTTTCTAGCTGAATAACCCAAATAGTTTTTCAGTGATTCTTACGAAAAATGGTATCAAAATGGCTAAACGTCTTTTCTGAAAACCTCGAAAAAAAGAAACTCAGTTAGTTTAGTGCTTTCTAGATATTAAACATTTTGGTGGATGGGCAATTATTCCAAGCTGTTACACGATTTGGACAATTTTGCTTTTACACCAGTTGTGATTGGTTGGGTCTTATGATCGATTAAGGAGTGAAACTGCCTGTTAGCGTGAAATGTTGATTTCTATGTCTACACTGCTTATTTATCCAAACAAGATTTGTTAAATTCATGCAAGAATTTCTTTCTGTTATTTTTTAATTTGCTGTTCACCAGGATGAAAATTTTGGGAAACTGTTCGCAGTTCAAATTTTGATATGTTGGTTCAAGTCCCTTGTGTTATTGTCTCATGATGATAGACAAGATTTTGTTGACTGCGTCGTGTCGTATTTTTAGAGTTCTGTAATTCGAATTTTTCAAAAGTGACATGAAGCGTAATATACAACATCTTATTCCAGAATAGAAAAAATACAATTAAAAATACGGAGACAGACTTGGACGGTTGAATTTAACTAAAATACTTGTCTGGATGAATTTTAGGTGCATAAATATGCCTTCACGCGCTCTCTTTCACATTCCCTCCTTTATCTCAATATATATATATATATATATATATATATATATATATATATATATATATATATATATATAGAGAGAGAGAGAGAGAGAGAGAGAGAGAGAGAGAGAGAGAGAGAGGGAGAGAGAGATAAACCCAAATACATAGATAGATAGGAAAAACTGAGTTATGAAAAAACTGAGATATATATGAAAAGACTGAGATAGATATGAAAAGACTGATAGATAGATAGATAGATAGATAGATAGATAGATAGATAGATAGATAGATAGATAGATATGAAAAGGCAGAGATATATAGATTGATAGATCGATATATAGATAGATAAGGAACAGAATTAGATAGATAGATAGATAGATAGATAGATAGATAGATAGATAGATAGATATGGAAAAACTGAGACAGATATGAAAAGGCTGATATAGATAAGTAGGTAGGTAAATAGATAGATAGATAGATAGATAGATAGATAGATAGATAGATAGATAGATAGATATGAAAAGACAGAGATATATAGATTGATAGATCGATATATATATAGATAGATAGATAAGGAACATAATTAGATAGATAGATAGATAGATAGATAGATAGATAGATAGATAGATAGATAGATAGATAGATAGATATGAACAGACAGAGATATATAGATAGATAGATATGAAAAGACAGAGATATATAGATTGATAGATCGATATATATAGATAGATAAGGAACAGAATTAGATAGATAGATAGATAGATAGATAGATAGGAACAGAATTAGATAGATAGATAGATAGATAGATAGATAGATAGATAGATAGATAGAAAGAAAAAAAACAGGAAATAGACACAAAGAAAAACTATGAAATCTTTCACTCTGCTTTCATTTTCCGTGTCCAGAAATTGCTATCAATTTCTAATTTGCTGTGCTCGCCTATGAGGTTGAACAGCTGATGCCAACATGCACAAACAGGGAATCAGTTCTGCAAAGGAACAGGGAAATCACCCGACACTTTGCAGCCGGTGAAAAGCGATAGGACCTTGTGTAAACAAATTCGCTTCAAACCGCAAAACAAATTAGTTACGCCATTTTTTTATTTTTATTTTTTATTTCTGCTGAAGAGACGAGGCGAGTCTTGTGCCCGAAAATATCAATGTCCCAGAGTTTGGTTTATTCTTAAAGAAAACTTAGACTTTCATAAAATGAAATCGTACCTGGATACACATATGCGCGCACATACATTGCACATAGATACATAGATATATACATATAGACGAAAGTACCTGGCCACACATGCACACGCACACACAAAGTTACAGGTAAATTTTTGATTTGATATTTTCCCTGTATAATGCCAGATCAATGTGATTAATGGGAAGTAGTATGCACAATATATTTTCAAGTAACGATATTCTGTTAGAAATAAAGTACAAAGCTACGAACTTGTTGACAATATATATATATATATATATATATATATATATATATATATATATATATATATTTCAACAAATTCGTAACTTCGTAACTTTATATATATATATATATATATATATATATATATATATATATATATACAAAAAAGTAAATTAGTAAAGTTAATGATATAAAATGGCGAAATCACTTCGCTAACTAAGTTAAATTAAGATGCATTAAACTACTAATCATTCGATGGATATTATGAGCCTTGTTTTTTAAAATTATAAACTGTATTAGGTCTTCACAAAATAAAAAAAAAATATTTCGATTCGCATTATACTTTTTCGTCTCGGATGCTACCTGAATTTTACCAAAAACAACATCATTTCCAAGCCTGATGATGACTGGACATACAGTCAAAAGGACTTGCTTATTTAAGGAAAACCTAATACAGTTTATAATTTTAAAAAACAAGGATCATAACATTCATCGAGGGATTAATAGGTTAATGCAGCTTTAAAATTTTGTTAGCGAAGGGATTTCGCCATTTTATATCATTAACTTTACTAATTTACTTTTTGTGTGAATGATTCATTGTAATATAAATTGAACTGCATCACACACACACACACGCACACAGACATTCACACACACAGACACACACACACACATATATATATATATATATATACATACAGGTGTATGTATATTCCATTATATCAATAGTTAACCAGTTAACCCCAAACTGGTGTCAAAACATTATTTACGTATAAAAAAAAGAAATAGAGTAAAAATACCAACAGTATATTTTCATAGTAAAACAAAAATGCCATCAATACATTTTTATTTAAAGAAATTACTAATGCTCTCAGCAAAATTACATTTCGGTATTAAATAACCCATAAGGAGTTGATATGCCGTTAAACAAATAAACAAACAAACGTTAAATAAATATTAATTTCGAAATTTCGAGAAGGTTATCCGGCTCGTCAGACACCTGAAGAAGACAGGAGAGAATAACAGTCGAAACGTTGTGATTATACCAACAAAGATGAAAACATTGGTCCAACTGCAAATAATATCTTGTTTATAATGAATGATTGGCTTAGTTTTGGCACAAGGTGACAAATATATGCCTTCCAATGAGGATCGAACTCACTACTAGCTAGTCATGGTGACAAATATATGCCTTCCAATGAGGATCGAACTCACTACTAGCTAGTCATGGTGACAAATATATGCCTTCCAATGAGGATCGAACTTACTACTAGCTAGTCATGGCCAACTGGATTACTTCGCTAACCATCTAGGTATCCTTGAAAGTTAGAACAAATGAATGGCAGAACAAATACCAAAAGGACAATGTCTGATAAAGACTCCGAGTTGGTTGTATGTGGTGCTGTAAGAGTTTCTAGTTTTCCTGGCGATCGGTGCCCTAAATGCTCCTTAACCTGAACATATACACGACCGATTTTGAAACGCACGTGGGCATTTTATAACATTAAAATATATTCAAATACTTGATGAAGGATTTGGTGTGTCTCGGTAGGATATTTGCTGAGTTTCATGCAAATTTGATGCTATTAAACTGCCTGTAACTTAACCGTAAAGATCACAGAGCCATTCCAACACAATGTTCCAAAATCCCGTGTGATAATTGAACAGTCATAGATAAGATGGACACATGGCTGAGTTATGGGCATGTGGACGTGGAACGTTCGCATTCTGACCATGAGACTCGGGTTCGAATCTCACCATGGTCGACTTGTCAGAAAGTAGATTTCCTGATGTTATAAGAGGAGGGGGTGGTATAGTGGGGAGGTTGATCCCAGCAAACGGCACATTTGGAAAGTGCCTGAAAACCATACCACGGGTTGATCCAAGCCTTGTGAGTGAAACTGGGGCCCGTCGAGAGCTGTGCAGTCACAAGTCATCGTGGCTGAGGGCTTGATCACGCGAGATAATACGCTGTTACCCAGAAACTGTGACTAAGATCTGCTCAGCATAGCTGCAGTATAAACCACGGGTGGGCTGTGTGGGTGTTTAATGCGTCTGCAATAGGGACGAGTGGCCAGCTATACATACCATACTAGAAAGTACTTTTGCGAAGCTTGTTGACAGACGGAGTCAGTAGACAGGAGCGTGAAATGGGTGGGCATTTCTATCGAACGTCAAAATCACTGCATTCTAAAACCACTTCGGATATTTATCGGATACGTAACATTACCTTATTACTTGATGCCAATAACTGACTATCTCAACATTAAATAGGGGAGATTAGGTTCCTGATACAAAGTTGTCAGCTTTCTTTTCTTATATTTTTAATGATTTAAGAGAGGCGTTTCTTTCTTAGATGCGACAATCGTGTTCACTGTAAAAATAAAAAAAAAACATCACAGATGACTACTTGCATTATTTACATTATTCGGACTCTTATCCTCATCATCATTGCCATATTCACAAGGACACATGGCCCAGTGGATAAAGACGTTGGTTAGATCCAGTGACAAGCTTCTAGTGATATAATGGTTGTCTCTATCTCTGAGATGTGGTATTATGATTACTTGCATTATTTACATTATTCGGACTGATATCCTCATCTTCATTGCCATATTCACAAGGACACATGGCCCAGTGGATAAAGACGTTGGTTAGATCCAGTGACTAGCTTCTAGTGATATAATGGCTGTCTATATCTCTGAGATGGGGGTATTATGATTACTTGCATTATTTACATTATTCAGACTGTTATCCTCATCTTGATTGCCATATTCACAAGGACACATGGCCCAGTGGATAAAGACGTTGGTTAGATCCAGTGACTAGCTTCTAGTGATATAATGGCTGTCTATATCTCTGAGATGGGGTATTATGATTACTTGCATTATTTACATTATTCAGACTGTTATCCTCATCTTGATTGCCATATTCACAAGGACACATGGCCCAGTGGATAAAGACGTTGGTTAGATCAAGTGACTAGCTTCTAGTGATATAATGGCTGTCTATATCTCTGAGATAAGGTATTATGATTATTTACATTATTTACATTATTCGGACTGTTATCCTCATCTTCAATGCCATATTCACAAGGACACATGGCCCAGTGGATAAAGACGTTGGTTAGATCCAGTGACTAGCTTCTAGTGATATAAGGGTTGTCTGAGATAAGGTATTATGATTATTTATATTCGGAGTTATCTTCATTGAGATGAGGTTATTAAGAATACTTATATTATTTACATTATTCGGACATTGTTATCCTCATCTTCATTGCCATGTTCACAAGGACACTTGGCCCAGTGGATAAAGACGTTGGTTAGATCCAGTGACAAGCTTCTAGTGATATAATGGCTGTCTATATCTCTGAGATGAGGTATTATTATTATTTATATTATTTACATTATTCGGACTGTTATCCTCATCTTCATTGCCATATTCACAAGGACACATGGCCCAGTGGATAAAGACGTTGGTTAGATCCAGTGACTAGCTTCTAGTGATATAATGGCTGTCTATATCTCTGAGATGAGGTATTATGATTACTTGCATTATTTACATTATTCGGACTGTTATCCTCATCATCATTGGAATATATTCATTAATAACCAGCATTGGAATATATTCATTAATAACAAACTCCAAAACATTAAACCCAATATTGGAGCATGGAACTCAGAATACGAAAATAGAAGAGAACAAGTCGTGTTGACCCGCCTTCACATAGGCCACACCTACATCACCCACCATTATTTACTATAGGGCACAGAATCCCCAATATGCACTACATGCCAAGAGAAATTTACAGTGAAATATATCCTGTTCGAGTTTGTAGATTTTGATCTAGTGCGAACAAAATATTACCAAGTGAGTAATTTACCAAAAAAAAAAAAACTTTTTACCAAAATAAACTACCCAAGATTGTAAATTTCCTAAAAGAAGTTGGATTGTACTAAAAAATATGAGTAATTGAAAACTAGTTCAAATATATATGTATACATAGATACCTTTTTTTTTACCAAACTATCGCTATGAATCTATTTCAAATATTTTGTTGGCATTAAATGATCCACTGTGGTTGATATGCCATAAAACAAAACAACCAACCACCAGCAATAAAAGTCGGCAGTAAATAACCTATTGAGGTGTTGATATGCCGTAAAATTAGCCAAACCAACCCAAACCTGTTGTGATTCTCATGAACCGAATATATTTTCCACGAATATCCAGTTCGTCACACGTTGACGATCCTCTCCGCGCAGTGGATGGGAAGAATATATCTTTTGGTTGAACTTTCTGCTTTACTAAACCCAGGAAAAATGTTTTTCTTGATGACGGACCTCCCTGTTTTTTTGTTTTTTTTTTCCGCAGCCCTCTTTTCTGTCTAAGGGACAGAGCTACCTTCAGTCCCCTCTCTTCATAAATCGGTCTGGCTAGCAGAAAAAAAAGTCCATGTACGAAAACTCTTTTCTTACAATTTGTCATCAGGGACTGATTCCATCCACAAGAGATTAGAGGAAAAGACAGGTTTTCGCGCGTTGAAATGCTTACAAAATTATCATGCTGAAAAGGAGGCGGAGTCCACACGAAATATAAAGAAAAGTTTTGGTTCTACGTCGGCAGGAGGAGGAAGCGTGCAGTGTTTGTTTATTAATCTTCCCCTTTCTCTCTCTCTCTCTCTCTCTTTTATTCCTTTCCAAAGAGAATGGGAAAAAGCAGACGTTAGCATCGTCTACTTTTTCAATTGTCTGTCGATTAATTTTTAATAGTTTTTTTTTAATAAAAATAACTATCTTCTACTCATAAATATTTTTCATATTAGATTTTACTATGAAAAAAATCTAAGAAATAATAAAATCGATTTCTAACACACACACACACACACACACACACACATATATATATATATATATATATATATATATATATATATAGTCATCCACAGAGAGACTGTTTCATAGCTCATCAGTGTAGTTAGACATCCGATTGCCTCAAGCAAACACAACTGATTCGGTATCAGTCGGAGATTTTTACCCCTAATCCAGTGGCGCACAGGAGAGATGAAGGTAAATGTAGACGTATATATTCTTAGACAAACACGCCAATAACCAGAGAACTCGATTCGTCTTAACAAAGTCTTGCATCAGCAACAGTAATAGTCACTGTTTACAAATTCACTTTTCTCCCCGAAGAACTCAACCGAAATAATTTTTTCAGGATCATGTATATATATTGTCATCCACAGACAGACTGTAAACCCGATTGATATATGTATAATTGTGTATTTGGGAAGCAATCCCTCTTTTATACAAGTTTCATAAAACATGACTGACAAGGTACTGTGGTTAATTTTTTTATTTAATTTTTCATGTGTTATAATTTTCTTCCTTTCTGGACGTAAATTATATAGAAATTGTCCAAATGCTTTGTATGTCCGAGCGCTTTTGTCTTTATCAAGGATACATTTTATTTTCACTTTTAACTGAGTGTATGGATTTTTATGTATGTATCTAGAGTTATAAGAATGTTTTATTTTCCAAACACGGTCAGCACATTGTGGCCGTATTCATATTCTTTTTTTTTCTTTTTTTTTTATTAATAATGCTTCCATTATTTTTACACTTTTCTAATATGTGGATGAGGTTGTTATGTTTGTATTATCAACGTGTATGTCACGGGTAGAGTTTGGTAGGTCCCCATGTGTATATAAATGATACCTAATTGGGCTATCAATACATTCAGTTAAAAGTAAAGAATAAGGAAAAAGGAAAAGAGAGACATTGTAGAAACAGCAAAGAGAATGTGCCGTTTATGGAAATGGTGTCATAGAACTGGTTCGCTAGGTTCATAGGTTGAAAATTTGACCCGGTAAGAACTGGAAGGATGTCGTATTCCATAAGGACAACGCCTGGCCTCATTTCTCTTTGAAGACCCGACAGAAATTGGTACAGTTTGTGACGTCTCCCGGTGTCGCTGCGCCAAATGTGACGTCTGTCTGTCGCGCCCGCCGTGCTATCCTGGTCACGGCACCAATTGTGACGTCACCCCGTCTGTCTCCGCGCCGTCGCCGTCCTATCCTGTCCTGTGACGACCAACTGACTTGGTATTGGTCACGGCACCAAATGTGACGTTCTAACCTTTTGCTGATTCGGATGGGAATCTGGTTAGATTCGGTATCAGCCTTGTCGTTCCCAGCTGGCCTCCAACGTCTGGTTACCGAAGTAACTGCTTTGATTTCTAGTCTAACCTACCCAGGTTGTGATTTGATCTTAGGTAGACGAAATCAATCAGTCGCCGGGCCGTAATGCAAGTCGAGTCCGAACAAGGGTAATACCGCACAAGTATATGTAAAAGAAAATAAAGTAATAACTCGAAAAGTTCAAATGTGTTAAAAAAGGATAACAATATTTTATGTCTGGTTGCTGAATACAGGAATGCTTCTTCTTCCCAACCCGCCATATGGATTCGTGACACTTTGTTAGGCGAGTCTTAACATCTTAAGTTGTTTTTTCTTTAAGAAACTGGTTCTTGGTGTATCTTCAGGCGATATTCGTAAAATTTGGTGGTGTGAGTCTAAGTCGTTCTTGGTTAGAAGTTGAGGTCGAGAATGCGTGGGTCTTAGGTCAGCTTCCTGCGAGGCTGTCTGCGAGCTCTCAGCTCACTGCAATTGATTGCCTGTCTGTCTAACACCAACTGCTCAGCTGCGAACTGCTTAATTCAACTGCCGCAACTCGTTGCGACTCTGCTTATATGGACGCCGACCAAAACCGGGATGGGCCTGTCGGGGTTTGAGGTTCCTTGATAATTCTAAATCCGCATTAAGGGTTTTTCTTTGTTCTCGGTCAGGAAGAATTATTAATTTCCATTTTTGGAAGTCTTTCGTCCACCCAAATTCTTCCTTTCTCATATTGGTATCTCACCCATACCCTCAGAGGGTGTCAACGGGTTTCCCCTCTCTCTCACAGTGGCATCTCACAGCGATCCCTTCAGGGGGCGTCAACAGGCCTTCCTCCTTCTTCACATGATTATCTTCGCCTACCGCTCACGCCACCATTCAGCCAATGGGCGCTCAGCGGCGCGTGTGTGGTCGGACTAGCCTCGGTTTAAAAAATCTTGCTCAAAGAAAAAAATTATCTCCCTTTTTCTTTTTCTTTTTTCT